CGGTCACGCGCTTCCGAGCCCTCGAGAGTTTTTCCGCCGACAAAAAAAGAGTTGTTCTGACCGAAAAAAAAAAATCTCGAGAGTCCTCAATGGGGCCTGAAGCCCGCCCTCCTGAGGGGAGTCCGGTGTCCTCCACCGGGAAGGCCTCGGCTGAGGCAGGCGCCGAGCCCAGCCTGAGCACCGTGGAGGCGGTTGTTTCTCCACCCCGGTAGATAAACCCCCTCCCGCCTCACCCCTAGGTGCAGGATTCTTCAGGTGGCGTCACAGCCCCTTTCAGTCACCTCTGAAGTGAAAGGCCCAGAGCTGAAAGCAGCACAGTGCAATTGCTTACGTGAAGAGTCTATGGTAAGACACCAAGGATTCATTTTACCAATATTTACAGCGATGTTTAACATTTAAGCATAAAACAGAGGATGAGGGGTACACTGTTTGGCAAAGTTTATGATATTCCTTATAGCTTTTAAAACATTCAGAAAAAAATGTGTTTTGGAGTCTTGGGATGAGGGTTACCAAGTAACAAAGCCCAGTCTTTGTGTAAGCTTTTCAACCTCTCCATAAAGGTTGTCAGCATCAACTTCCTTGTAGCAAATGTGATCCATCTCTCATGTAATAGCTCTTTTGGCACCTGTCCAGTTGAGAGCAAATTAAATGGCCCATTAAGCACTTAAATGCTATGATAACTAATAGATTCAAGGACAGGCTAGTTCATGATCTGTTCACTTTTTTTTAATCAACGGCTTTATTTAAAAGCACCACTCGTGCTAATTTCTCCTTGAAGATGTTCAGCCAGTCTGTAAGGGTCTTTGTATCTCAGAGATGCACAGATACATTACTAGTTTTAGTAAAATTAAAGGTATAAAGTTAAAATCCCTGGTAACTGCAGGCAGTATTGCTTTAGTATCATGTAACTGGGGATACACTGTAAAATTGTGTTTCCTAAGAAACAAGTAGTAGGCATATTCAATAAATCCAAACCCACAACAAATATTCTTCCCTTCCTTTTCAAATACACTTGGCACAGAAAGATCTCAGATCTGATTTCCAGTCAGAAAGATCTCCAATTGCTTAGTAGTCTGAAGAAACCTGGTATCAAATGGATTTTGTTAGGAAGATATAAGGGTTACAGAAAGCAGCATGTGCTTGCACATCAGCTTTGTTGGTTTTGCAGTACCTCTACTTGTACAAATCAAGTCTTAATTCTCCCTTATAAAGGAAGAAAAATTAGCAGTGGGTTGTATCCCTCATGAAGTGCAACTGCCAATGCATTCTTCCAGCTAGATAGTCAGCTTCTTTTCCCTTCTCTCCCCCTCCTTCCCCTGTATACATCCCATACACACGTGCATTTTTTTATGCAGCTACAGGACACTTAGTGCATTTCTTCTGGGTCTCACCCCCTGTCTATCCCAACCAGACCCACCTCAGGCTTAAGTGAAGATCACTGCAATACAAAGAAGCTTCTAGAAAGAGGGTTGGAAACCCCTCAGTTGTCCTCAGCTACCACCGAGAACCACCTGAAGCCAGAAATGGAAAATACTTGCACCTCCTTATTTCTTTTGCCCACCCTGTTCCAATTCCTCTTCCCCATGCTCTTGCAGCACATGAAAGCAGTTTGCCCATCCGACTGACAACCAGAAAAAATGTGGACACACAGTGTCACCTAGTGGCACCAGGAAAATCACTGTCTGGTCTCCAGTTCCCACTACCACCACCAGTATTTTACCCATCTTTTCCCATGGGCTTTTTAAAATGCCACCTCTTCGTGAAACGAGTATGAACCCAGTCTTCAGACTTCAATTTAAAAGTAAATGACCAAACTTTATTGAAGGTTTTGTAGTTAGCAGGACTGTTAAGAAAGCAGAATATTTTACACCTCAAGTATAGTTAAGAGCTAATTCTCATGAGAGTACAGTACAAATAAAAGCTAATATAAAAGGGCATCCTCCTTCCACCGTTCAAGATTTCATTATCTGTAAAATAAAGGAAGTCAAGTTTAAAAACGTACTAAGCTTCAACGCTAGCAATCAGAAAGTTTCACTGCTCAGATGGTTTTATTCCAGAGATTTTTGCAATGCAGCATGATTTCACAGCCATAATGAAAAGATTTATGGCAGCTTGACACAAGTAGGATTTCAAAGTTGTCAGAAGGCCTTAAAAATATTATCTGCAGTTTAGAATGGATCATGAAGAATTCCAAGTAAAAAAAAAAACAGCAAAAACCACAAAAAAACCCCAACATACTTCAAATGCATATGAAATGCAAAAATAATGCCCTGCAGGCTACTGCAAAAGTGTTGTCTTGTCCTCAAAGAGATCTGTCAGTCAGCACAGCTTCTGGATGAGCACTAAAATACGTATGTTCCAGCAATGGGCACACCATTCCAGTTGCACAGAGGAAAATAAAGAGACTTCAATAGATCATAGGCAGTTTTGAGAATGAAAATCACATTGCACTCAGTTTAAGTTGCTTTAGTTGTTGGATACTAAGCACAGAAATGTTGAAATTATTAAAAATAAAATCCCAGTTGTGCCCTTTACATGTATTAAAGTGCATTAAGTTACCATTTTTAAAGCAGGCCAGAAAGTCCCTTTGAAATTGGTCCCTAAGCACTGCAGTAGCATTTGTAGTGGTAAAAGTATCGCACAACAGAAAGCCTGTTTCACACCACCATTGTGAGTACAGTGAAATTCTGTAAATTGTTAGTGAAATATGTATTGAAGCTCAAAAAGGATAAGATGGTAGGAGTACAGAACAGCTCTGTTCTCGTGCTGTGGACAGAGATTACCTGCTGAAGCTATCCCACAGCCAGATACTGGTTTCCATGCACCTAAATACACTCTTTGCAGGCTTCCAGAGTATTTTTCTAGTTGAGATCAGTTGTACATAGGATTCCCTTAATGTTGATGTGCAGTATAGCATTGCTTTCATGGAGGACAGCTCTTTGTTAAAGCTAAAAACACCGATTTAAAAAGGCCCAGCACCCTGCAGCAAGTTTTCTAGTAAAAGGCCAATTTATTCTTCATCATCGTCTTCATAGTAACGATTCCTTTTGATCTGTTCTTCCACAGATAAATCTTCCATATCTTCACCCTCCCAGAAACCAACATCTTGGGATTTGCGGTTCTGGCTGGGAGATGATTCCTTAGCAGTCACGACATTGGCTAAGCTGGGATATTTAGGAGAATTTGGTTCGAGGAACTCTTCGTTTGGAATTCCCTGCTCTTCCATAGTGTGTTCTTCCTCATCCGTCTCTGCATTCACCTGGCCATTTTCTACAAAGTTGTGCTCTACTGTTTTGATACCAGACAACTCCCGTTCTTCCTCTGTGTTTCTCTCTTCAGCATTCAGGCTGTTCCTATTCTCAACCTTCTTTTCCTTCTGCTTTTTCTCTACCACCACCTCTCTCTCCAGTTCCTCACTTCTTTTCAATGCGTCTCTCTCTGCCTTAGACGGAGAAGATGAATTCTCTGGTTTATGGCCTTTAACAGATATTGTTCTAAATGACGCTGCTACTGTAAAGGGACGACTTCTTTCCTTCAGCGAGGAAGACCGTCTTAACTTTTTGAGATCCAGATCCACATCCTCCAGCACATCTGGCTTGGAAATCTCTTCTTCTGGGGGCCATTTGGGTTTGAATACTTTGATGCCCTCATCTAAGGCACTTCCTTGAGTACTTTGGTCAGATGGAGGTGGCCAGGCAATCCGGAGCTTTTTGGTTTCTGCAGGTCTCTCTTCTCTTTCAGGCAAAGCCGAAGCTTTTGCTTCCATACTGGCTGCCAGAACTCCCACTTTTGCAATTGGGGCATCCTCTACTCCTGGGCTTTGCGGACTTTCTGTTGCATTTACACCATGGACAGTTTTCTCTGGGGATTCTTCACACTCAGTTTTGCCTGCCCATAATTCCTTATGTTGTTTGTGCCCAAAGCCTTCATCGTAATTGCCTTTCGATTTGAAGAGCTGATTGAAGTGAGGCTTGCAGTAAATATTCCCACGCAGAGACGCATATGTCCCAAGACTGTGCAGGAAAATACAAAGTCAAATGTTAACATTCTGTGTCTCAGTCACCAAGACGGGTGTATATTTTAGTTATGTTACTGAAGAGATTCAATTTCAGTCTTCCAACATGTTTAGAAAAGACAAGATCACAGCTTTCATGAGTTTGCACGGCCCTCTTTTCAAATGTCAGGCGTTCTTTACAAAGTTGACGTTACATTTTTCCCCACATAAAATTACATTAAGAGTTTAAAAATAGACAGCATCAAGTGCAAAAGCCGCTGGCAGAACTAGGACTGTGTTACCACTCCTACGCTCCTCTCCAGTTCGCTGGATTATGGTTGCTTTCAGCTCAGCTAAGCCTGAACAGCATCTTACTCAGCCGCTGAAGAGGAAAGCTACGCTTCCCAGAGGGCAGCCAAAGGGAACACTGTGTTTACCTGAGTTTACTGTTGCAATAGGAACAGCGGAAACAGCTGATGTGAAACACCTGCTGGTTGGCAAGGAGCCTTTCCATCGGGTACACGGTCTTCTGACACCCAACGCAGGTTTCCTTCATTGGCAACTGAAATTTCTACGGGAAGAAGAGAAAGCTTGTTCACTGGAAAATGAATCAGCTGCTGAGGGACTTGGCTGGGGCTCATGCACAGCTTCCAGAGCTCGCAGAAAAATTGCAGAATTCACTCTCTGCAACTCAATGCTAATTACGGTAGGGTGGGTTAATTATGGTAGGGTGGGTTCTAGGGGGCAGTGAGTGAGGAGGCCATGGCAGGCCCACAGGATCTCTGCGGCTTGACAAGAAAGCCAAGATTTTGCCCCAGTGAATTCCACAGCGGAAGCATCACAAGTTGAGCAATGGCTGAGATGGAACAATGAAAACACGAGAACTCAGTTATAACTTTCACCGAGTCAGTTCCCAAAAAGCTTTCCAACCTATTTCTGCAACCTGAATTTTTCTTTATAGGAAAACGATGAAGAAATATTCAGATTGATTACAGTCAATATGAGACTTACCAAAATTATATTTAAAAAAATAGCATAGAAAAAATAACCTCAAAAAGGTAGAGGACAGGAGGGGAAAGGAGTGGAACAGGCTGCTCAACAGTTTGAAATGATCCATTTTTGCACTCCTCTCAGAGGAGGAAACAGTCTCAGCACAGATGCAGGCAGCAGGAAACACTTTTGACTTCATTTGTAAGCAATTCCAGTTCTGTCGCAAAGAAACTACACTCAGGTTTCAGGACACGCAGCCCTCAAACTTGCTCAAGACTTAAAATGAGGAGGGCTTTGAGGTTAAACAGCTAAAATTGTTTATGTGCTCGCTAAGAGTATTTCCTGAGAATTTAATGTGAGGGTAAACTTCACCGCTAAGGAGCCCCATGTCACTGCTGCGCAGTATGGCAATGATTTCAGATTTTGTTTTATGACAGCATCCAGGAAACAAGTCCATTGTCCATGAAGAAAGGTCACTCGATGCCATTCACTTCTTGGAATTTATTAAGCTTGGCCAATAGGGAAGAGACACTTTAAAGGAAAAATTAACTTCCAGTAGAAAAATTGGCAGTCTCAGGCTGCAGGTTGGTTACAACTGCTGTAGCAACAGGGTAGAAGAGTGCCTAAGCTCCACACCATGGGCCTGCATGGACACACTGACACTGTAGCTTTTCTTTGGCAAAGAATTACCTGCTACAAACTTACTAAAAAGCTTTAAGGAAAAATATGATGGCTAAAGAAAAAACAGGAAGGTCACAGGAAGGCATAAGTACAGCAATTTATTTATAACAGCCTAGAAACAATGGTTAGGCAATGAAAATTACAATATGTGAGGGACAGATTGCTGAAGACAGAGCCAGCTCAAGTCAGTTTGTCACAACCATAAAGTTTGCTGCCAATTTAATTCCAATTTAATAGGTAGTCCAATTTTTTAAAGGCATTGCTTGAAGTTATAGCAGATTAAAGTTGTAATTATGACAGCCTGATCAACAAAAGTTCACAGTTCCTTTTGAAAAGATATCCACAATTTCTAGGTGCTGCCAAAACTGCATATGAATTCTGAATTTTGAGCCACTAAATGCAATCTCAAAAAATTGAGATTCTACCAATGCAAACAAAAATCTATTCATCCATGCTTGCCACAGGGAGCAAGGCAGCAGCAATTTGCTTGCCCATCAGAAAGTAGCTCTCCCAAAAGCCTAATTTTGCAAGATAATACTACAGTGCTGGCACACGCTTCTGCAATGCACATCCTCATCTAAGAAGAAGAACTTACTTGTGTTACATTGAGCCCTATGTCTGATGGAGAGGCGTTTTGGGGTGTGAAGAGAAAGAAATTTCTTTCCAGGCATACTACAAATAGGAACTACAGGAGGAAGGTGAGGCCCAATAAATATTAAATAAAAACAACTTGAGAGAAAGCTGAGAGTTGAGCTCACATTAGAAGGGAGGCAGAAGGCAGGAGTAGAGGGTAGGAACCAAGAACAGGAAACAGAAGCTGGAAGAGACAAATAGGAACCTTACATGAATAAACAGCATAGGGGTTTCTACCTCAGCAATGCAGCATCTACAGCAGTGACAAGGCAGAGCACTAGAATGGTTCTAATCATATAAAGAGACAGCGCAGAGGACCAAGACACACAGCTTGCGTGTCTCTTGTACACTGTAACAGCTTGAGATTACAGAATTGTTACAGGCAGCTCTAATTGCACATGCTGGCATTTACTCTCCAGAACACTAGGAAGCCACATCTCACTGGACTTCGTGAGGTCAGCGCTGTTCCTCCCAAAGATGGGGAAAACAACAAAAGCACAGTTGTTTCCTCAGGAGAGAGCCAGGAAGTCTGTGGCAGCCCAGGGACCAGGCATCCTAACTCCACACTTCACACGTGACCACAAAGTACAGTGTGATCACAATGCTGAGCACTGCCATTTGTGTGTCTAATAAGATTAGCAAATACATTCCTATCCAAGAAGTTCTCCATCTGCTTTATGCTTTATAGCTCCCACTGAAGAAAATATAGCACTAAGGACTGGCTGTTCTGAATGCCAAACTCAGTCCTTGTGGAGGCAGTCACTGCAGTGCCCTCACTAGAAAATTGCTACCTTGGGAACAGCTGGAAGAGGAGGGTGGAAGTGAGACCCAGCCTCCAAAAGGCTCTGAAGAGCAGCATCAGCTCAGTGCCAGTCCTATGAGCACTGACTTCACCAGAGGCACAGAAAAGCCCTGACACGATCCCCTGCTCAAACCCCTTTTCCCACACCAAAGAGACTGCTTGTGTTGCAGGGGCACAGCTCCCAGCAAGCAACTCATACTTGGTGTCTGAAGAGAAACCCAACAGTTTTGAAATGCTTTCCATTCTGAATTAAAGTTCTCCCATGAACACAGTCTGATGAAGACAGATCAGGTACTGACACAGTTACTGCCAGGCCCTTGCTGACCACATTGGTCACATTAAGGCTTTTCACTATTAAATAGAGAAGTTAGTTGGTTTTAACCACCACCAATGTTTGAGAATAAATAGCTGCTTCACCTTCACTGCTTTTGGCAGAGATGCATCTGTCTGGCCAGCTGCTTTAGAACCAAAGCTTTGCTGCTTTGCGCTGACAGGTTTCTGAATTTCTGTCTCATTCTCCAAGGTTTGTCCAACTGAGGGAAGAGAGGAGGAAGAAAAGGCAATTACGATGACATTAAAACCATGGAAAGCTTATGCTCATTAGACCGAGCAGCAATCCTACCAGCTAAGGGCTAGCACGTTTTTTCTTGAACATCTGCTATTAACCTTCTAGATCTAGACATTTAAACAAGATCATTCTGCTTTTCTGATTTACCAGGGAAGTTACATTGACACGTAAAGGAAACTAAAATACAGGGATTCAACATCTAACTTCCAGGAATTGCTTTTCATTTCTGCAAAGTGCCCACACGTGGGCTTGAATTTAGGTGTAAAGCTACGGCAACATGAGAATGTGCTTACATACTGTACTGAATAGGAACTTGTCTATCTCTGGACAACACCAAAGCCACTTGGTAACTGTCCTGCATTAATAAGCACTTCAGCCTAGGGACTGCTGTAGTAGTTGCCAGAGCTATATGTTTAAAGTTAAAAACAGGAGTTACAGATGTCCTAGAATTACAATTGCACATGAACTGCTAAACCCGAAAGAAATTCTTATAAAGTTTGAGTTAGGCATGGGACATTAATAAATACTTCAGCCTAGGGACTGCTGTAGTGGTTGCCACAGCTATAAGTTTAAAGTCCAAATGGTGAGGAAGCTACACTTAAACATGTTCAAGAGCAAACAGGAGTTACACATCTTAGAATTACAATTGCACATGAACTGCTAAACCCGAAAGAAATTCTTATAAAGTTTGAGTTAGGCATGGGACAGATTTTTAGTACAAGACAGGTTTTATCGGGTCAAATTCATCATTTTACAGTGCTTGTCCTCAGCCAAGTGCTTTGCTGGGGCAGGAGAATGTGGGCTTACCATTGCCATCCTCTAGAAGAGCAGGACATTTGTCCTCAGCCAAGTGCTTTGTTGGGGCAGGAGAATGCGGGCTTACCATTGCCATCCTCTAGAAGAGCAGAGTGGGAAGACAAGCTGTTCTCTCCCACAGAAACCTGCAAGAGAATATGGACACATTTGACCCTCTGAAGTCTGAATAATCACGGCCTGAGCAACACCACAGGCAGTTTGATGCTGTAAGTGCTTAAACAGGAAGGGACTGGCCACACTGAGGTGCACGTGAAGCTGGTTTGGTAAGGCACAAGGCAGTCTCCAGCTGACTTCCAAGAGTGTCAGTCCTTGCTGCGAGGTAGACATCCTCCTAATTTCACAGCTCTTGCAATAAAGATCATCTGCCACAGTGTTCACACACACAAATATCCTATTTTTGTTGCCCCAAACACCTGCACCTTGTACTGTTTTATTTCGCTGATGTACCTCCCAGGTTTGCTTACTCAGAAATCCCTTGACACCAAGTGCACACTTCCTGGGAATCTCATGGCTCCCTCCAACATTGGACAAAACTGAGACATTTAAACATTCAGCAAAGACAGAACTTTTGTGAAAAAAGGGAGAAAAAAAATAAATAACAGCTGAATTTGAAAGAAAAAAAAAAGAAAAAAGCTTTTGTAGAACTAGAAGTTTGCTGTTTCCAGATTGGGACAAACATGCTTGGACCTATCCTGTTCTCCATCCTCCTTCTGAAACAGATTCATATTTTAAAATCTCCCCCCAACTATTTAGAAGAGTTGGAGATGAACCAGTTTCAGATATTAAACGTATTAAAGATAAAGCTCTTGATGTATATTTCTTTATTAAACTTGGCACTATTGCTATTCAATCAAGTAGTTGTAAGTAGCTACGCTGAGAAACTAAAGTGCTGTAATAAGATTAACTGCAAATCATCACTAATTCACTTTAATGATTGAAAGGTCCATTGCAAGCGACTGAAGTTTGCAAATTAATGAGTTAATGAGGAAGCAAGTTGCATATATTAACATACTCTGGTCTGCTGAGAAAAATAACTACACCACTGGTGTGCTGGGAAGTGCATCAGCACGTTCTGTGCCTGTTAAGGAGTCACACATGTCTGCCTGCTAAATTAACAGATTCAGTGTGAAAAATGATAGATTTCTTTTGTTTCCTTTTGCCAGAAGATTCCCATTTCTGACATTTACTGCTATTAGTTTTAATGAGGCTTATTTCCAAAGTTTATCATGCCATTTCCAAAGGACAACCTTGTTCTATTCAGGTTTTGTTGCACCTGCACACCTCAAGCAGTAACTTCACAATTCCAGCCAAACACAAGCAATTTTATTCACAACTGCCATTCAACAACAGGGATGTTTTCTGATTTAACAGGTGCTCTATTAATTAACTCACCTTTTAGCAAAAAAGCAGCCTGGACGAGTTGAACACGAAGCTGCTCAGCTGTCAGCGAGGAACAGCTGAAAGCAACAATTTGGCCCCTGCCCAAGGGAGGCTGAAAGCTCTAAAAGCTCTAAAAGCCCTCCTGGCATTAGGCAGCCACGTGTTCAGCATGGCTGGAATACACAGTACCCCAATTATTATTCAGCTACTTTTTATCCTGTCTGCTGTCCCCAGTTTAGGATACAAATGGTTGAGTGTGCTTTATTATCTTGAATTCACACAGTAATTTTGCCTCGATTTCAAGCTGAAGCTCAAAACCAGGAACAAACCCAAACTGGCGTTCTCTGTTACCTTCATCAAAATTCAGCCGCTAAATGCAGAAGAAACAGTGACAAACTCCTTTTACTTGCGTCACACAAAGCTTCTTATGGGATTTTTTTGGTGTGGTTTCTTTTGTTTTATTAAAACAAAAAGAAATCCACAAACAACACAAATACCTAGCTGTGAATCATCTCTTTACAGTTAGGGAAGATGATAGGAAAAAAAATATGTGGCTTCATCATAGTTAGTGGCAGAGTAAGAAAAAACAACAAACAAAACAGAACAAACCTCCCAAAACCATCAGATATTTCAGCCCTAGTCAGCAGAAAATACAATGTTGAAGGGTTCTGCCACACTACAGGCGTGTTGTTACTGAGAAGACACAGGAACTCTCCAAGCAAACTTAAAATTTGTCTCTGCAACAGCTTAAAAAAAGTCTTCCACAGAGATTTGCTAGCATATAATTCAGATACATTTAAAAAATCATTTAAAAAACCCCCAAACAAGCAGGGATTCTGCAGCATGGAGGTTTATCTGTATCAGCTGCTCGTATTTAAGTTCTAGATGGCTCGTGGGACAAGCGCAGGAGCTGTGCTTCCACAGCTACTTCCACCTGAAGTGAAGTCCTTGGCCTTCACCAGCAGGAGCATCTTACCTTCTCCCCATCCTGCCAGGAAATGGAGTCCTCAAGACTGGGTGGCAAATTCTCCTTCTGCTCAGATTTGTAATTCTCGAGTTCACTTTCACTGGCTTGAATCTCATTCTATAGAATAAAGCACTGGAAAGTTGACAGGTTCTTTTCCCCTAGGAAAGCACTTGCTTTCTGCTCTTCTTCAAATCTCTGTTAAAAAACTGGTTTCCTAGTATATACAGTGATAATTAAAGGAAGGGGCACAAAAATCTATACAAAATTAGGAAGTGATACATTCTAAGGAAGAAAAAAGATGGGGCTGTAGAATTTTACCACACTAAACAACCTTTTTCTCTACTTCCAGATTCGATTCCTGTTTAAATGAACTCTCATTTCCCCTGCTCAATCCACATCTTCCTTGTCCAGAAATGTTAATTTTTCTTTAGAGATTATGAGTATTTCAAGACAAGCACTATCTAAAGCACTGTGTAATTGGAAAATACAATTTGACATAGAAGCAAATCCTACCCTTTGTTTCAATACCGGTCAAAAAGCTGATTGTTATTACTGAGATTTTTGCTCTTGACAAACTGACTTGTTTAAGGTTTTCACAGAGGAATCTTTCAGACTTAAAAAAAAGTCAAATCCAGTGAAACCTCGTGTTTCTTTCATTGCCACAGGATACAAGATAACTGGAGAAAGCCTCGTGCCTTTCACAAGGCATCTCCTCTGTAACATGAAAGAGAAACAGCCAAATGCCAGCACCAGCATCTTACTGGATTCTGTAAACAAGTCTGCACAAACCGACCGTATCTAATAGGTATGGAATTGAATGTCAGAATGGTGATGTCTAGATGTCTAAACACGCTGTCCCTCACCTCTCCCTCCCCTTCCTGTGCCACTTGCGATGCCATAGAAATGACTGCTTCTCACCCCTACTCTAACCAACTGTAAAAACGTCTATCAGTTTTAATCCAGCCCTCATTACAACCACAATGCCCTCAAAGTAGCTGTTCCCAAGAGAGATTATGGCTTTCCTTTGTAGTACAGATGTGATACATTTTAAGAGAAGGGAAGTACAAATACCACACTACCATATCAAAAGAGCCTCAGTTGCTTTGTCAGCAGGGAAGGAGAACAACCAAGAGCTACGGCTGCTCCTGGAAGACAGAAGTACTGCGCACGTTGGCCTCAGAAACCATCGTTTGCTCCATCTTAGTGCTGCCCTCATCGATGTGCCAGGCCAAAATCAAAAGAGATTCTGCCAAATGGGGTTTCTGAAGAGCATCAGCCTGGACTGACACCCGGACTGGTACCGCTGAGGATTTGCAAACAAGAGTGTCAGGAGACATCTATGCTAAATCTCTTGCCATATCAGGACATAATTTAGTGGATCAGCTACAACTCTGAGCCACAAACTGGGAAAGGCAATCTAGCAAACTGAGAAACAGGATGCAGAAATCAGCAATTAGCAGTTAATCAGATTGGTTGCACTGGCTGCAATTACTTTCCATTCATGGAGTGAAGTTTACTGGACTTTCCTCCCAAGGGCTGGAGAATTAGACCCACACTGCATCTGAAATTCAGAAATCATTTCAGCTGGGTAGAGACTTTTGCCTCTCTACAGAGATACCCGGGAAGCTTGGACTCTTCCAAAGTTTAATACCATCACTTTTGGCTTTATTTCCAGTGCAAGTTTCCTAACTTAAAAATGCCTTTCCTCTTGAAATTTATTACTCTGGTTAATGAAAGGCATATTTAAGCAACAGAAGTTCCCATCATTAAGCAAAAGTATCAGACAGTTCCAACAAATGTACTCAAGCACTTTTTAACAAAAGCTTAGGTTCATGGCATCTCTTCAGCTGTAATACTTTACCATGATTCATTAATTGCTCATTTCCTGATCAAATATCTGCAAAATTGGCATGAGTTCATTCACTACAAGAGTCTAATTGGATTCAGATAATGGGTGAGAAGACTTGAAGGGAGGTGAAAAGCAAAAGGGAGGAAAACTGACTGGAGATCCCAAAGCTGCAGACCAGGAAATCCCGGTTCTAAGCACTGTTTGACATTGAAAGTTGCTCCATCTTACTGTGCCTCAGTTTCCCCTAGTTTATAGCTAATGTACAATACAGAACTGAGTTTGTTTTTTAAAAAGACAACAACAAGCAGCATGCAGAGAGCTACAAACATGCAGAAAGAAAAAGAATGCCAGCTATGTTTCAGAAGGACCTCAGTCAGGGTGCCAGCAATTAATTCCTTGGAAAACTTTCAAGATTATTCCAGAAAGATGCGAATACTTATTTCTTCCTGCAGTATGTAGAGGCAGCTCTTCATTAGAAATGACTCCTATGGGCACAAAGTTATTTTCAAAAAGAAGATGGTATTATCTTCAAAAAGTCTGTTCTCCATAAGATCTTCTTTCCAGTCTCAGCTTGGGACAAAAATTCACTTCTACACAAGCAGAAGAACAGACTTACCGTAGAAATGAGGCTTGTGGAGCTGCCCTGCTTGGACACAGCTGCCTGATACTTCGCCAGCCTGTCCTTTATGGAAGTTTCTGTCAGGCGAGGCATGTCCAGGCTTTTCTTGGGCTCTGCCTTATCCGGGCTGAGCGCTGGACTGGTATCTACAAGATGCCCTGGAAAAAGAAGTACACGTAACTTTCAGGAACACTAGTAGAGCTGCCTACACAAAGATTTATGCCCCATTACTTGCCATCCCTCTTTCATTTTTGCTGTCAGATGCTAGCCAAATAGGTTTAAAAAGCCAACTCCTGTGACTGCTCTGCCATGTCAGGTCAGGTCTTCAGTAACAGCTTAACTGTTCAATAAAGAATGATTAAAAAAATGACTTTTCACTAGCTAGTGGCCCTGAATGACTGAAGGGTTGTAGGAGTCATTAAGGTCCTTCTTGGGACAATAAACACATGTTGGTAGGTCTTGCCAGTCTCTCCAGTATTTCTCAAATAAGGACACAACGTACATCAATGAGTAGCAAAATACAGTATTAGCCACAGGCTGAAAACACAGAAGATTATAGAGCTTTCCTTGTTATAAAAAAGAGTCTCCAAACATATGAACAAGACATAATTTTGCCCAAGTCACAAAGCTAGCTGTAGTTACCTGTGTCTGGACAAGGTAGGAGGGATGAGAACTAAAGCAAGAAGGAAGACGACACATTGTCTCACTGGCTGTTCACTACTTTATAATTTAGTCTGACTATTTAAAAGTAGTTCTAGGATTAAGACACAGGGGAAATGGGTTCCATTCCTCAACTTGCTAAGTTATCTTGTTTGCAAGGGTTTCCTCTGCTTAAAGACATAACAGTTTAAAATTCACAGCAAGACTGAATTCAGTGCGGTGCTCGCATGGACTTTACAGATGGAAGATGGCTGCACTTCCTTCCATTTCTGAAAGGCAAAAGTTATTTCTATTACGTTGTGTAAAGTGGTCTTATTTTATAAGCTAAACACAAACCAGGAGGTTCACTGACCTGATGTATTATGGCTTTTCTCTCCTTGGCCCACATCAAAGTCCTCCGAAGAGACGCTGTTATCAGAAATCCTCCTGCCGACTGCTGTCTTCCTCTGGTCTCTGGGGACCTGTTAGAGACAAACCCCACCTCTCAGCTGCCTGCACAAACAAAGATTGCTGCGTATAATCCTTTAAGATGCACAGGTGTCACTAGCAAATCTGCTTTACTGGAATAAACAAGTCTAGCAGGTGACATCTTAGTTAACCAACATAAAGTTTGATCACAGAATACCTGACCCTCTTTCACCTGGTAAACACTTTCTTGACGAGGTCAGTAGAAGCCTTTGACTCGTTATCTTTGTTGGAAAGTCAGAGAACCACAAAGATGAGATTTTTAAGCATTAATCACTGCAAATACAACGCTTTAATCTAGATTTTTGCATTTTATACAATTTCTTTTGAAGCTAATGTTCAAGGTCATTTTATGAAGATTTAAAATCCAATAAAGGATGAAAGGAGCGAGCTATCAAAAAATCTGCATTGATTTTTAGCAACAGAAAGAAGAATACATACAACTTAAGATATTTTTTTCAGCAATTTGTTTTGATTTGGATAATCATGTTTTTGGTATGAAATAATTCCCTAATTGGGTCTGATGAGGCTGAAGCTTAAGCATGAGAGTGTTAGAGATAAATATTCTCAGATATCCAGGATAATCACTATCTGCAAGGCTGCAGTGCTGGACAGGGTGTTTTGTAGCATCACCACACAGATGCTCTGGCTGGCTCCATCAGATCTGACACTCATTTGTTGAGACCAACTCCCCAAAATCTAATGCTCAATAAAAGAAATTGTGAGAAGAAATATCAGCAGCTTTGAGAAATGCTCACGGAGTGCTGAGTTCAGTTTGATTTCATCAATTAGGATGTTTTCACAGCTGAAAGTCGCTGTGTAAAATACCAGAAAGTGATGGATCTTTGTTCCCTCCCTAGGAAGAGTTAAATCCCAGAGCCGGTTGGAAATGAAGATTGAGGCTACTGTAGGAAAAAAGGCAGGTTTGGCAAGATGCTCCAACCACACATTCTCCTTCACCCACCCCCCAGCTCCCAGCAAGTTTCTTATTTGCTGGTCACCAAAAAATGCTCATGGAGTGCTGAGTTCAGTTTGATTTCATCAAGATAGGATGTTTTCACAGCTGAAAGTCGCTGTGTAAAATACCAGAAAGTGATGGATCTTTGTTCCCTCCCTAGGAAGAGTTAAATCCCAGAGCCGGTTGGAAATGAAGATTGAGGCTACTGTAGGAAAAAAGGCAGGTTTGGCAAGATGCTCCAACCACACATTCTCCTTCACCCACCCCCCAGCTCCCAGCAAGTTTCTTATTTGCTGGTCACCAAACCGAAGGAAATTCCAAAGTTTTATTTTAACAGAAGTGCACTGTAAGATAATCACTGTGAAAAATCGGGCTGTTTTGGCATACAAGACAGCAACTTTACCAGGAAAGGAAAACGCAGCTGGAAAACCTCTTTTTTTTCCATTAGTATGGGAAATATTTTCTATTTCTGTGGTTTCAGACTTTGGTAACGTTTCTTACTGGAAAAAAGCTTAGCTATGACAAGTCTTTTCCTTCCATTGACTGTGGTGATAGGTTCAGTTTGGGAGTGTCTGCATGCCTGCAGGGACTTGCAGACTCCTCACTCTGTGCAAACTATCCTAAATTATTCTTATTCAGCCTATGTCCACTTCAGTGTCACCTCCAGCCCACAAGCCTGGGGTTCTTACAACTCAGAAATTTGCTGTTCAAAGAGTCTAGTATACAAAGAAGACATTATAGGCAGGATGCACTTGAAGACAAGATCTTTTGAGGATGCAGAAGAGAAAATATGTTTATTAGCCCACTTGAAACCCCTGTTTTAACACTGCCCTGGGTTTGGTTTGGTTCAACTTTTCTGTAGGTAAGTTGGGTAACACAGGTAGCCTAGATCTTGAGAGTAAAAATGCAAACCACACAACACAAAAGCTTTAGTTACGAGTTCAGAGACATTCCTGTACGCATCTCAGCACTAAAACCTACAAACAGAAAGTCAATGTCACACAGATTTTACATCAACAGTTTTATATTGGGGGGGGGGGGAAGCAAAGTAATAGAAAAAAAACCCTTATCAAAGGGAAGATTAGGGACTTTCTCTATTACAATTAATAGACTGATCAACCACAAGTAATTAGGGTGATTATGGCTCATGGAAGGTAACACCTTTCCCATGAAGGAATCCCCGACTCCCAGCCTTCTGCAGGTGCCACTCAGTTCCCTTCTCAGTCCCAGCTGGGCCACAATTCCCAGGCCACAGCTTCTGCTCCTTGCAAAATGAGATAAAATATTGCTCACGTCTGGAAAGCCCCAAGGTTCCAAGACAAAAGAGTTAACACACAGGCTGAGTTAACAGCATTTCGCCTGCGGCACACAGAGGTGTTGGGCAAAAGACCAAATCAAAGTTACACCTATTTCATTACACACCAACTGTGTCAAATGTGACCCTGCACATAAGGTGAGCCTCACAAGACGCTAAGTTTTTGCCTTAAAGGAAAAAAACCACACAAACCAGCTTGGAGACAACGTTTGAAGAGGTACTGCAGATCTGCTTGCTCTGTCTTTTCTTCTGATCTTCCTTGTGTTTGCTTTTGCTATCACTTACAGGAAGAATTCTTTGAAATTGAGAAGAGACCTGATGTTCAGTCTTGGCTTAGTGCTGAACCCATCCAGACTGACATGCCTGCCTCTAAGGTGCTTGGAGCATTGTTTTCCATGAAGATGCAATAAAAAAGTTCTGCCTTGTATCTGAATCACAGAAGACAGCGCAAGATTTGAATGAATACATTAATAAAGTAGGAGGTTTTGCTTGTAACCCTGAAAATGCAAATAGTTTGTTTACAATGAGTGACTGAGTCATGAAATCCAGGCTCTAATCTGGATTCCTGCCACAAACTTGCCCAGCAACCAGGCAAGTGGTTTCATCTTTACAGCCACGAAGTTACAGCCATGCTGCCACTCAACTTACACAGATGTTTTGGCAGCAAACCTCTGACAGCGCTTATACCTTCAGACTGAAGTAAATACCAAGGAAAACTGCCATCTCTCAGCTGAAGCCTTGCTTGCACTTAAACCAGGGGTTTATCCACAAACACTTCAGGTAAAACAGAAATGGAAGGGGTAATTGCAGAGCTCAGTTACCCAAACTTACCCCACTGCTGTAGTTGCTGCCTACCTTAGTGAAAAAGCTCTGTGGCCCCATAGTGCTTAACTCTCCTCATTGTACGTGAGTGCATGACATCATCCTGCAGCCCTCAGATAAATTCCCAGAAATCTTACAACAGTGCTTTCTAATTACAAAGACATCCCCTCCCCCCTATATGCTTAAGCTTTAAAGAACTTTGTGCCTTCTCCTTTCCAAAATTAAAAAGTAACCAGATGAACTGGGAATAGGAACATAATTTGAACCTAACCTAAATAGTTTCCTACCTACTGTATGGTATGTACTGTGTTCAGTCGGGTTTCAACAATATTTGAATTACTAAGCTTGACAGAAATATCAGTTCCAGATTCAGTCAGCTCCAAAACAATTTATTCTCCAGGCTAAGATAAAGTTACTTGAAACCCATCTGCAAAACGGTGCTTTCCTGTGGAATCCCGACTGATTAATCCTACAGCAAGAGTTCAGGGAAGTGTTATCGGGCAATCACCCTCCACACAGACTGATGGGATGGGCAGCTCCTACGGAATGACAAAGACTACAAAAATCCAAGTTGGGAAATTACCAGATCCAGACCCAAAACTCACTGCAACACAGAGGCGCTCCTCTGAAGCCCTTAATTGTTGTTACCTATTTAAACAGCTTTTGGACAAAACGTGTTTGTTTTACCTAATACTGCAAGAAAACCACCCACAGGAAAACAAAGCCAGAAGTATAGGAAACTATGAGAAAACTGGAAAATCCACCAGCATCAAGGCCCCAGGACTGTGTTGCAAGTCCCCAGCATATGCAACTCATTTTCTAGTTAAGCAATTCTCCCCCGGGACACACAGTCTGCAGTCCACATGCAGGATCAGATTTCATGAGCAGTTGTAGGAAAATGCAAGCCCTGTGCATTTGCAAGTCAAAACTAGCGAAGGCAGGAGCTTGGCTGCCATCTCTGTTTATTTCCCCCCCCCATAAGGATTTTTTTTTTTTGCCGATAAGAAACATTTGTTCAGACACAAAGATGAGAGAACAGCAGGGAAAAGATGGGAGTATTTCACAGTACTTACAGAGATATCTCTATATGTGCACATGTGTGACTCACATACTGATATGTACATAAAAAACCCTCCTAACTCTGGCAGTATTTCCATCTCAACTGCAACCGCCCGAGATTCCTGAGCTCACTTCAAACAGTTACTTTTTCTTTTATATATATATAAAAATACATACATACATACTTTTACACAATTCATATTTACGTAACTCATCTTAATCTTCAAAGATATAAACAATCTCAACTTGCTTTAAAAAAAAAAATCTTAATAAATTCCATACTTATTTCTCCTCTCTTAAATTGTGCCCCCTTCACAAGCAAACTAACTTTACGGCTCCCACGAGCAACCACAAATAGCCACAACTCCAAGCACTCTGCACATATTTGTACAGCTGAAATAGGTTATTAACACCAGCTACCTTATGTCTCAACTAAAACAATGACTACGATCATTTGCAGAGTCAATCGTTTGGAGCCACTCCCTCCGGGGACTTTTCCTGATGCCCAAGAGGCAGCAGAGTTTTAGTTTCTCTTAGGATATGAAGGGACAGATCCTTACCTTGCTCTGAGCCGCTTCCCCCTTTTCAAACATCATCTTGAGTTTGTTCAGAGGAACGCTGTATTTCTCGATCTTCCCCGAAGAGTCCGTGTTTTCGCTGGCTTCAGGCTTTTCCACCTCTCTGCACTCTCGCAGACAGTTTTCCATTTTCCCACTGTCCGCCAAGTGGCTTTTGGACTTTCCGCTGTCACCGCCGGGACACTGCAGCTGGCCAGGGGTGCCCGACGGGGCCTGGGTGTCAGATGTGGCACCAGCCCCGGGGCTTCGCTCTGCGTCCGGGGAAGAAGCGCTGCTGCTCCCGGTTCCAAGCCCGGGGCTGGAGACCTTGTGCCTCACCTCAGCACAGCTGCTTCGCAGCGTTTCCTTCCGAGACTCCACTCCCAGTGCTGGATTCTCCCACTTCTTCTTTAGCACGCTCAGATTCCCCCTTTTAAAATGAGGGGGAAGATTTTCTGCGTTCTACAAAGAACAAGAAGTTAATTCCAGTTATATGCCTGATGAAGCACTAAAGCACTTCCTTTCTATGCGAAAGGAAGTTAAAGGCTCAGCACTGAGCTCAGCTCTCTGCTCTTTCAGACAGCTGTGAATAGTTACAACTGTGCCACATGGAGAAAGCATCCAGGATAGGAAAGGAAAGGAAGGAGGGGGGAAAAGAGAAAAGTCAGGAGCTAAGGCAGGAAGTGAGCAAACAGGATGGCCTTATAAGGAAAAAGGGAGTCGAGCTCTAATGAGTTAAATGACACACAAAAGGCTTGAATCCACACATGAAGGAAAAGGGACCAAAATCCACCCAAGGAGGCTCTCTAGTCCTAGAGCGAGCAGACACCAGCAGAAGCAGCTGTAGGAGATGGGTGGCGATGCCTTCCAGCTGGTTCAGAAGACAACAATTAGTAGACCTTCCAAAAAGCAACCTAGTAGCTTCAGAAACCACCACTTTTTTGGTGTTACGTATTTCTGCTAACCGTTAACAGCAGCGTTTTGGTGCCAAGAGACCCGTCTTCAGTATTCTATACCATGCAGCGTAAAGCTGAAGCTGAGCACTGACAACCGATGTCTTTTTGCTCCCATTTACAAATACCAGATCATTTGCTGGAATTTTCCTTCTCTTTCACTCCCCAGCATCGAAAGCTCTCGGCAGGAAACATGCACACAAGTCCCAAGCACTGCCTTACCACTGCGAGTTGGTAACACACGGAGCAGTACTCCTCGTATTCAAGTGCTTTTCACACTGGTTTTACTTTCAAGTAGTAACCTCCCCCCAGAGCCACAGACCAGCCCATGTTTGATTCATTCAAGTCCAATACCTGCCACCACTGCATTTTTGCTGTCACTCCTCTATGGAGACCACTATGTATCAAACTCATTGCAAGTGGAACAGGTCTGCAAGGCTTACAGGAATTAAACAGGATTAGCAGCTATATTAGGATTTAAGTCTCTCACCCTATTACTCTTCTGGTCACATTTTGAACGCTGCTTTGCAAATTAACTTGAATCCACCTAGACTTCAGAAAAAGATCAGCTTGCTGACTGGGTTTAAAAGAAATTACTAAGGTTTTAAGGGAAATGTTGTAATAAAAGTACTAAAAATTGTGCAGCAGGTTTCTACAGGGACACCTCTGGACCCGGCGCCTGTGAAGTCCCGGCACAGCTCATAACACAACTCAGGGGCAAATGTGAGGCGGTAACAGAGCCAAAAAGGATGGCTCTCCCTCAGCCAGGGGCATTTGAACTCTGTGAGCCCCTTCAGACAAGATCCCCCTTAGTGGGGTCTCCAGCTATCAAAGACACACATGATAGATTTCTGAGAGGCTGGTTTTAAGCAGAGTTTTAAATGTAGTGAAGAAAGGAAGAGGTACCACACAACTGCCTACAGCTAAGAACAAAGAGGAGGATATTCACGTGTTGTGGTTAACTCGCTTTGCCTTTTGCTTAGGAGCGAATTGGTGATTCAGCACAGAGCTTTGGGCAAGGCACTTGATTTCCTTTCATTCACACTGGGAAAGGGTAAGGGGAAGGAGTCAAAAGCAAACACTATGTCTAAGCCAAGTTTTCCATAGGACACACAGCAGCAACTTTGATATTCCACAAATCAACTGTCCCAGAAACACTGCATGTAGGTGACCTGTTCTGATTGCAGGCTGTTGCCTATTGCCTAGGAAGCAAATACTTACACTTCTTCTTTTCTCAGCAGTTGCTTCTTCAGCTGCTTTCTGATACCTTTGGGAAAGAGAGAGAAAAAAACCACAGCCAGTTTTTATACAGAACACTGAATGCTCCTGAAGGCAGCTGAGTTTTTTCCCCACTGAGGATTCTCTGCACTTCCCAGACCTATCAAATAAAACTCAGAGGCTGCAGAAATAGTAGAAAATAGTACCAGAACAATGCAAAGCAATAGAAACATTTTAAGCCATTTAGTTTACAATAAGAGCACGCATTAATATTTCTCATTTCCCAAGCACTCTGATTCTCAAACACAGACAGTTTACCTTGGAATAGCTGTATTGTTTCCGCCACCCAGCTGTCTGCTGTGCCCCCTTGCAGGAATAACTCGGCTATTTATACAGCAGCTGCTGAACCGTAACAAATTACAGCTTGGCATACGCAGAAAATCTACATAAGTGCCAGTTTATTTTACTATGCTGGGTTGTAAACTGCACCAATTCAGCAGTTGCTTCAGGAGCAGCTGAACCATCCCAGCAGTGGAAACAGTAATCACAGCCCTCTGAAGATAAGCCACCCTGGATCATGAATCAAAGTCCCTTAAGAAGCTACAGAAAACCCCCAGCAATCTGCACATCCAAGCCAGGAGCACACAGACAGTGCCGAGGTGACTGCACTTTGCTTTTGAAATGCACAAATGAGTCAGACGTGACAAATTTTGTAAGTAAAGCTCTGCTTTTCAAAGAGAAGAAACGTCACCCAACATCTGCTTGGGCATATGATGCTTCCACCTTCCTGATCTGTGGAATTCCACTTTTGGTACAACTGTGAATATGTTCCAGGCAGTAAATGAGACACTAATATCATAATAATAATCAGCTTCAGACTGTAACTAATTGCTGGTATCAAACCAACAACTAATGTGTATCACAGGCCCAGTTACTTCTAATTAGAAATTCTTACGTGCAGATACCTGCTCTATTATTTTTTTCTTTACAACAACTCAGTTTCTCCTGCTGTGAATGGTGTGCTCCTATGTCAAGTTCTCCTCTTGTTACACCAGAGAGTAGACAGTGGTTTAGAAAAATTATGCTCCTCACTCTAAGTGTCGGCATCGGCAAAGCCAGCGAGCAGAACTGTGTTTTTCCAAGGAACTGACACTGCTTATGTAGAGGGACCCTACTTGATTAAGGAACAGCAGTTTGGATTACTTCCAGTAAGCCCTTTTCACAGGATTATCAACATTTAGCAAGATGACCAGGCTCTGTAATCAAGCTTCAATGAGTGAATAAATTACCTTAACAGGAGTGGTCAAAGCAAGCAGCTTCTCCCTAGGACAGAGTCCTTAAAGAGTAACTCAAAGAGCTGTGTTTGCGTAAAGTCCAGATTGCAATTATCCCTCCCCTATAGACTCCATAAAATTTCTCTCACACTCAAGGTTTAAATACTCCAAAACCTTGCTACACTATTAATGCAATAACCTGGGAGACTTGGTTGCCCAAATCCAAGCTGCAGTCTATAGATTTCCTTAAGGAAATAAAAGCTTTTCCAGTGAACATGCATAGGCTACCACCACTCAGCTTTCTCAGTGTATCAAGTATTACTTTACGATTTGACTGTAACCCATCATCCATCTCTCGGATAAAAGGGAAGGGTAATATTCCTTTTCTATGCAAGTTTTGTGAGACATCTGGAAGGGGACATCTGTGAAGAGCACAGCTACTGTGAAATTCTCTGACACTCTTACTAAGAGGTTACACCTATCACCTGTGGTTGACAGAATTACCATTTCTAACTGGTCTTCAATTAACTGATGAAGTGTTACAGCTCCTTTCTGTGGTACCAGGCAGGAAATACCATGTTAACAGAGAAACCTATGGAGTTCATGCATAAGCAGTTAAACGCCTTTTCTGATGAAGTAAAACCCCAGGGGCAATAGCCACCTACATTACAGTACTCTGCCCCCACAAACAACTTGTACTTTGGCAGAAAACGTTCTACCTTATTTTCTGACAGCAGAAAGAAGATACTATTATTCTGACTGCTGAAACAACACAATGTCAGCAAGTAGAAAAACTTTTGCCAGCACATTTTAAACCAGAAACTTAAATGCCTACAGAGCTGTATTATTTTTAAGCAGCAAAGCAACTGTCAGTGAAGCAGTGATCGTTCAAGGTATGAGCTGCCAACCTACACACACAGCTTGTGTTCAGCAGCCTCACGGCACTTACTTGGAGAACCTCTCCGCAAGAGCTGATGATTTGTTCTTGTTGACCAGAGAAAGCTCCTTCGCAGTGATTTTTAAAGACTGTGAACTCCATTGTCTCCTATTAAATGGGGAAGGCTCCATCTTAGCACCACAAATACCTGCTCGGGAAGAAAGTACAGCATCAGTCAATGTGAATTATGGGAGCAGAAAAGCAGTGTCACAACGTGGTTCAGTCCTAAGTCACCACTCAGGTGCTCCCTGCGTAGCAGCACCACCAAACTCTGATCATTGAGGATTTTGTCCATCATCTGACTTTAAAAAAAGACATCAGATTACAGTTATAATTTCCTCTGCAGATGCCACTGAGATGATGCCCTTGGTAAAACACCAGTCACAATGAAAGGGGGGAGAGATAAACCATGAGCCAGCACAGGAGTAAGACACAAGCTGTGATTGAATGTGAATTTCTGCATTTCCTACACACATGGGCTCCAGGAAGCCCTAATATTCCCCCTCTTGTTCTGGTTTCTAAACCAAATATGCTGGCATTTATGTAAGAAGGCTCAAGTTATGAAACCTAAGAGGATGTAATTCCTGTGCAAACATTTTTCATTCACTCTCGTGGTGTTCATTCTTAGCGCAGCAGCAGTTTCCTCTGAGTTGAGACAAGTCTTCTGTTGACAGAGGCAGCTGTAAACCTCATGTTGCAATAGCTATCAGTTACCTAAAGGAACAGTTTCAACTCCCCTGTCCTGCTGTAAACGGGAAGAGACTTTGCACAGCTTCTCACCGCTGAAGCCAACCAGACTATATCAGATTTTTTTTTTTTTTACATACTTAGTTTTCCTTTGTGGAGGAGGAAAGGAGGGGAGATTACTGTAAAAAGTTCTCCGATAAGACAAAAATAAAGCTTGTAGGACAACGCCTTTCCTTTTTTCCTCTTTTCTTTTATCCCTGGTCTCATGTCACACAAATCCTGTGGCGACTCCCCTAACCGAGCCTACAATGCCAGCACCAGGCAGGCTGAGCTCTTTCTCCTATTTTCCATCAGTTCCTTTAATTGATTCGCACCATTGGGTCACAGAGCTCTGGAAATCTGAGCGCAGGTTGGCTCGACCACTGGGCACGGTGTAAATGGAAGCACCTTAAAACCAACTTGGTATAAACACCCAAATGTCAGAAAGACAAGGATTTTGTTTCCAAAATCCTCACAGGTTCACACTGCAACTGCTCAAAAATGATGAGGACTCGGGATCCTGCAATGCCTCAAGTCCCAAAGAGTTCAGCAGCAGCAAGCGGAGTCTCAGTGTTTGTGAGTGGTGAGTCCCAGCAATTCCCAGTGCTGCAAAGGGAGCTGTGCAGTGCTCAGCTGGTGCTGGAACCTGAGGAACCTCCCCAGTGCTGCACCCTGCTGCTGCCTGCAGAGAAAACAGCAGATGCACAGGTCGCTGCCAGGGTGGATGGAGCCAGGAAGAACGGGACTGTAACGCTCCTTCATTCACCTGATGTCATGGAGAGAATGACGCACCACGCCAGCACATGGATTTTTCAAGACAGCGATTCAGATGGTGCTGTTAGATGTGCAGGTGGAACTATCACGGCAAACGAGAAAAGTGACACTATTTTTGTCGTGATGTCGAAACACACCGAAACTCCTTATCAACGTTACATTTCCAGGTGCACCTTTCTGCAGCTTCAGACGCGCGTCTCCCACTGAAGGCAGTCTCTGAAACGCAGCCATCGCCCCTTCCAACCAGCAGGAGAAGCTCAGGCTGCACAATCACCTTCCCGAAATTCATGCTTTCTTGGAAACATTTTGCATGGCCAAGTTACCCTCTTCTGTTAACCTGCAAATTTTTGTCCAGGCTGGACTCAGAGAAGGATGCTCTCCATGTGCCTGGCTTAAAAGAGTTCCCAGTCTTTGCCAACTGCGCAAATGATCATCCACAAAGAAAAAGGATCCAATTGGAACACAAGAGGAGCACTCACACACTCCCTTTTTAAAAAGGATATTGGACATGCAAATAAATCTGCATTTCTGTGATTGCAGGATGCAGTCTCTGGTGTTGCTGCCCTGTAGCAAACACTTGGCAAATAGATTTAATAAAGCCACAGAATACCTATGCAGAGATTATAGATAGGATTTACTCCTGAAAAATGTAAGTCCACGTTAAAAAAGAATTCTAAATCGGCCATGCAATGCTCCAGTTCAAACTCTGCTTTATGATTCATCTTGAGCCAAAAGGAGATCACCTGAAGCCCCACTTTGCAGTCTGCATTGCCTTTCAGAAGCAGAGCCAGCGCTGCACAGCAGACAGTAGCGGGGCATTCATCAGCAGCCTCCCTTGGCACAGAGAACAGGTTGCTCATTGACACACACCTTACACGGAAGCACAGTTTCAGTAAAACACTGAGAAAACAAAATCTAGTTTAATTGTGCAGAAAATAACCCTGGTTTTGATGCTCATTGCAGCTTGTAGCGATCACTCTTCGTAGATTCAGTTCAGTTTCCCTATCATTTTCTTCATTAAAGCCACAGGTACCTTAGGACAATCACGCCTGTTTTGGCAAAAATTGCTTTAAAAAGGGAGCAGCTACTGCTCAGATGTTCAAATGGAAAGTTAAGAGACGTATCTGGAATCTCAGTTGCTAGAAAAGACATAAACCAGAACTCTAAGATGCCCTGAAACTTGTGCTCTCGCATTTTTAACACCATTGGCAGCACTTTCCCATACATTTATTGTTTCATCCTGTTCAAGCATCCCTGTACTTTTTCTGCTGCTCCTCCTGAATAATTTATTCCAAGTCATTTCAGGAAAGAGTCCGTTATTGTATGCATTAAAAATTAAACAAGATCGCGAGCATTCTGCATATTGCAATAGAGACAGGTTATGCTGAAGTGAGCATGGAGTCCAGAGGAGGAGGGGACAGGGAATGCAGCGTTGTGCAAGATGTTTAGGAAGGGGAGGGCTGTGATTTACCCACTGTAATGCACCACATCTCTCTCCAATAACTTTAACTAAGAGTTTAACAGTAGAATAAAAATCCATACATCCGGAAAGGTCCTAAAAGAAAACTTTTGCTAACACCTGCCCCAAAGCGGAACTGGTTGACTTATTACAGGTGGTTAAAGTGCCTGCAGGACGGGACGCTGCTGACCCAACTCCTTCGCACTGCGCAGCTCGGGCAGCGGAGCGGGACACAAAACCGACGGGGAGAGCAGGGGTGGGCGCGCATCCCTGGCCTCAGGGTCCCTGGAACCGCCCTCACACCGCTCCGAAACTCTGTGCCCCTAAAACCCCTTTTCC